CAGGTGCACTTTGGCGCTCCCGCCACCCTCCAGGCCTACCAAGTGTAGACAACCCACTCGGGTCGGGTAGACACACTACCAGTGTGTGTTGACATTTATTTCAAACGAAAAACAAAAAAACCAAAATAAAAATATGAGTTTTGATTTGATTGCAAAAGCATGAAAAAAATGGAAATGGCTACACTCTAATGTTGAAGTTGCCTAGATTTTGATAAGCAAAAATGAGTTCATCAGTACTTTTGAAGTAGTTTTGGTAGTTTGTTAACCTTATTACTCTGTTCTAGTGCTCTCTGCTTAGTCCACAGCGCTCATGTCGAGTCTGGTGTTATTTTGACGCGTTGGTAGCACTGTGGGGTCCAAGTGCGTGATGGTGTGTTTTCTTGCCGCCTGATACACGTTTTCTGCTGCGTTGCAAAGCTCCGCGAACTGTGCCAATACTTCCTGAGTCGAAGCTCCTGCGTGGATTCGAGGAATCGTCGTTGGCTGTGAAATGGGCGGCGTCCACACCGACGCTCGCTCACCTTGAGCTGTTGGCCACGAGTCCTCCTTTTCCTTTGGCAACGGAGTCGGGGATGGCAACGGCGACGATGGTGGCGATGGCCACGAAGCTGAAGTCGCGGGTGCCTCCTTGTTGGTAGGAGACGGCACCACCGCTCCCCAAGCGTATTGTACCACAGCCTCAGGGAGTGTCTCGCCCAGTATCGGCACCTCCTGAGAACTCACCAAGTAGTCGACTTCATCCGTATCAGAGTCGACATCCCACACATCCGGATGATCCACGACAGGAATCTCTGCGTCGTTCTTGCTTAAGTTTTGCATGGTGATTGTCTTCCTGCTGTTGCTTCGTGTTCTCGTATCCCTCGCGCGAGTTTTGCGTGGTTCCGAGTCCACAGGCAGCAACACCGTGTTGGAACTCACCACCGTGTCATTCTCATCGCCAATGTCCTCCGTCTCAGAGTTATAATCCCATGCTGGCTTCGTATTCGAGTCCAACTTCCTCTGGGAGTGAGTTTGGCGTGGCGTTCGACTTACCCTTCGAACGGGGGCAGTGTGGAATACCTTTTCATTCTCGAACTTCTCCTGTTCGTTGGCTGTGCGCCCAGTGACAGTTCCACGTCGACGCCGGTTAATATCAGGACGACTATTGCTTCGGCTACGAATGCTACGTGTCGAGGATCCTGTTGTTCGAAGAGTGCCACGTCGTCTGTTCATTTGCTGCCGTTCGATCACTTCCTTTTCCGCGATTTCCAACGAGTTGAGTTTCCGAGCGTGGGTGAGGCAGTGCGTGCAAATAACAACAGAACGTTGCTCCACAGTCTTGTGTCCTTGGCCAGGAAAACTCAATTTCTTCTTGACAAAGCACGTCGAGCATGCGCGGGCATTGCAAACACGACAGGTATGACATCGTGAAAATGTGCCAATCGGTCTCGTACAAACTCCACAGTCGTTGCGTTTCTTGATCCGCACAGTACTCGGTCGTGCAGAACCAGCTTCGGTGTCGTCAATCTTCGGGTGTGCCAGAAGCCACGACAATTTCTTGTTTTGAGCGCATAGTGACGACTTCAAGCAATACGTAAGACTGTTCGCCGCTGATAGTAGTGCAACACTTTCATGAACCGACCCATTCGGCTCAAAATTGGTCTTCATGTACACATCCACGGTGTTTGAAGATGTTTGTCGATACAGATAGCACGAAGAGATTCGGCCACGCACGATCCGCTTTCCTTCGAGAGGACCATAACCTTTGCCGAGATCCACCGAGTGCATCAAGTGGTAACCCACTCGTTCGCCACCCTGACGTGTCAATATACCTGTTGCTGCGATAAACGTAAGGTCCCGTGGCCACACAAAGGCCTTAACGGTGGACGAGGTGGACTTGACAACCCACTTGATGCCGAGGAATCGGAAGGGCTCTTCGGAAGTAGGACCCTGGAGTTCATATAAAGTCTCTGCGTCTACGACCTCCTCGGCTGTATAGGACGACTTGATCAATGTCCCCACTGCGTCAAACGAAGCTGATCCGTACATGACGTCGTTCAGTGTGCCCTCAATAGTTCCTACTTG